TTGTAATTTGATATTTTTGAATTTTCAATAAATTTTTTCCCAGCCACAGAGCCTCCAGAGGAGGGGGGATGTTCTCGGACGCGACTAGTTCACGTTCGAGACGCATCGCCCCGCCCCTTATTTTTCACGTTGGCCCCTCCCTGACCTGGAAATCCCTAATCGCTACTTCAGAAAGTATAAAAATAGGCGATTTTCAGGTCAATAAGTCAGTCCTTCACGGGCTCTCCGAGAGCTTAGTGCTCTCGGGGCTCTGCTTCCTTTTTTTAGCTTTCCATACTCTGTGGCTGAGTATTTATTTCACTTTAAACTTGCTGTTTTATTTCGACTATTTAGTCGTGTAAGAAATAACTTGCCTTTGTCAAGGCAAGTCACCGAAGCTGAGAACCTGATGCCTATTTCGACAACTTCGTATGTCATGTAAGAAATAGCTCGTCTTTTTCAAGACGAGCTCATCAGAAGAAAATATTCACAAGTCTATATCCAGTAAATAGACTTGGGTAGAGATGCATTCGTTGACGTCTTCGAAGCCCTCTACAGAGCACCCGGAGGCTACAGAAGGTGACCCTTATTTGTTCCCCCGCGGTGACATGGACAAAGCGACTACAATTAGGATTATACACAGGATATACAGGAAAATGTATTAGTTCGTGAACCAAAAATCCAAATTAAGTTTACATAATAAATTATTACCGTATAAACGTGTTCTAAAGTCAGTTTGAAATGGGAAATTTTAAATTGTTAAATTGGTGCTTCCCTAATTATTTTAGATCAAAAGTCATAAAAAACTATTTGTAGAGGACTAAATTCTGAATTAAAAACAAATGTTAAAACCGTTCTACGAATCAAATGTACTTCAAAATTTTGAAAAAATGTGATACATTTTTCAGACCACCCCTAAAAGTTAGGCCACACGTAATGCAAGAATATATATTAGGACGTTTGTGTTTTATCATATTAATGTCAGATGTTTGACAATTTGAATTGTCAATTTTTTTATTTTATAATTAAATTATAAACAATGAATTTTACTAAATACTACTACTACTGAACATTATTACTTTGTGAACAATAAATTATATTGTTTACAAATCGATCAATATAATGAAATGTACTCAGTTGACGAAAAATCTCATAATGTTGTATTCAGGCAATAGCACGAACCTTTTCCTGCCACTACCGGATCTTTATTTACCGTAAGATATTCTAATTCACTAAAATTTAATTCCATGTTAAGTTAAGTTATACAACAATTCAATTAATTCCAATATACTGTTACTGTGATCTTTATTCCTAATAATAATATATGATTATTTCTAAACATAAAACTATAACAAATGTTATAATAAAACATGAATAAAACATTTTTATTATTGCTTTTTTCTCCTCAACTGAGTACATTTTTTAATCAACTTAATTTTTTTTAAACAATAAATCACAAAATTGTGGTCATTTAAATCATAGATAAATATAATATAATTGATTTAAATATTGTCAAATATCAGAAACAATAATACGACAAAACGCAACACGTAATACACATTTTTTCACAGAAAAATGTATTATATTTTAGCAAAATTTTGGAATACGTTTAAGTCGTAGAATAATTTTAACAGTTGTTTTCGATACATATTTGAGTCCTCTACAAATAGTTTCCCATGACTTTTGGTGTAAAATAATTAGGGAAGCAGGAATTCAACAATTTAGAATTTACCATTGAGTTTCCTATGGCCCGTTTGCCGATTCACCACCCTGTAGATATGGGGTACAGCATCTAATTCTCACTTACTGAAACATCAGCGTTTCCAATCAAAAGTTTTGAGACATATTACCAATGCCAATTGGGCGCATACTAATTGGGCACATACCGTAGTATGTGCCCAATTATGTTATACATCGAGATCTTCAGATCCAAATTATTAAAGACACCGTTGTCTCACTCAATGGTACTTACAAAAATAGACTACTGAACCATCCAAATACGCTTAGACCTTTCTATACGTTTATATACATAATCTTATATATTATCATTTTATAGCTACAACTTATACTATATATACCTATTACTTATAATTGTGTGTGTATTTTAACTATTGCTATTTTTTTAGTATGTTAGTAAATGTCTTTCTAAAGTGTTATCTATATTTCAAATATTTATATATATATATATATATATATATATATATATATATATATATATATATATATATATATATATATATATTAGAAATTTATCTTTAAAGGCTTTTTGTCACTGGAGGGATCTCCCCTGTGTTAATTACGTGATAAACTTATTGATTTTTGTTTTTTTATTTGTAGAAACAGATTACAATCAATAAAGGATGTAAAAAAAATAAATATATAACAAGGATATTAGATAACAGCGTTTTTATGTACTTTCGAGTACATAAGACTATATACATGGACGTCTTCTTCACATACAGAAAACCACATTGTCAGAAACCAGATAGACTTTATACTCGTAAATAGCAGATAGAAAATTCTATAACCTCAGTTAAAACTTATCCTGGAGTAGATGTTATATCAGACCACAATCCGTTGGTGGCTACAAAATGCGTAGTAAGAATGCTACAAAACGAAGAAATAAAAAACGAATTAAAAAACAATGTAGATGTTAATATGTAAAAAACACTAACTGACAACAAACAAATTATGGATGTAAATAAAAAGTGGTATAATTATAAAAAAAACACATTACTTAAACCAGCTCAAGAAAGTTTGATATAACATAGGCCAGAGGCTAAAAAACACTGGATGACAGAAGAAATACTATTACTGATGAAAGAAAGAAGGAAATATAAAGAAAAAGATCTACAGAAGTATAAAGAAATACAACGAATAATTAAGGAAAAAATCAAAACAGCTAAGGAAATCTATTTCCTTTCTAGACAACAAAGACACATAAACGACAAAAAAAGGAGTACTACCAATAGATTTACCAGAGAAATGAAGACGATGGGAGGAGTACGTTAGAGAACTTTTCCAAGATGAAAGAGGTGAAATGCAGAAAATGCAAGAATTCAATCCTTTAGAGAGATAGAAGATCACGATAGATAAAATCAAATATGATATCAAAAACTCTTAAGACAATAAGGCAGCTGGAATAGATGAAATACCAGTAGAGCTGTTAAAACTAGTGGAAGAGGATAACTTAGAAGTATTGGCAGATTTATTCAACACGGTGTACGATACGGGAATAATACCACAAGAGTGGCTGAAGTCAGCCTTTATAACCATCCCTAAACAACAAGCAGCAAAAGAGTGCTCTGATTATCGAACATACCTCATGAGTCATACTTTAAAAGTTCTGCTCAAAATAATACATAAGAGAATATACGAAAGGCTAGAGGAGGATATTAGCGAGATGCAGTTCGGGTTCTGAAATGGAATGGGTACTCGAAAAGGACTATTTGCCATCAACATACTGATTCAGCGATGTCGGGATGTAAATGTTGATCTACACTTGTGCTTCGTCGACTACGAAAAAGCTTTCGATAAAGTAAGACATAAAAAAACTAATATCAATACTTATGAACAAGCGCATTGACAGTAAAATCATTAATATAGTGCATACATTATATTGGAATCAAAATGCCACAGTTCAAATTGATGGGCAATACTCAAAAGAAATGAGGATGTGTAGAGGAGTTAGACAGGGATGTGTTTTATCGCCACTTTTTTTTAACTTATATTCTGAAGAAATTTCCCAAAACACGCTCAATAATATCGAAGCAAGAGTCACTGTCAACGGAAAATTAATTAACAACTTAAGATACGCAGACGACACTGTGATCATAGCAACGAGTATAGAGGATCTACAACATCTTATCGAAAGCTTGAGTATGAATAGTGCTGAGATGGGAATTACTATAAACGCTAAAAAAACGAAGTACATGCTAATTACAAAAACACCATAAAATATACATCACCTATTGACAATCAATGGTAACGTGATAGAACAAGTAGAAAAATTTCAGTACTTGGGAACTTGAATGTTGAAGTGTGATGAAACCAATGATCATATTGTAGAAATAAACAGGCTAATAGAGATTGCCAGATCAGCATTTATATGAATGAAGCCACTCCTAACGTGCAAAAATCTAAATTTGGAGATCAGACTATGAATGAGACTTGGACATAAAAATGTAATTTAAAAAGAATAGAGGCCTTCGAACTCTGGTTATACCGCAGAGTATTGAAAATATCATGGACTGATAGAATTACAAATAAAGAAGTACTGGGGAGGGTTGGTAACGAAACAGAACTAATCACCACTATACAAACTAGAAAACTGGAATACCTAGGCCACATGATGAGGAAACCAAAATATGAAATTTTGAGACTCATAATACAGGAAAAGATTCAAGGAAGAAGGTCTGTTGGCTGAAGGCAGAACTCATGGTTTAAGAATCTACGTGATTGGTATCAATGTAAATCGATTGATTTGTTGAGAGCAGCAAGTTCTGAAATAAAAATAGCCATTATGATTGCCAACCTCCGTAGGAAGACGGCACCCTAAGAAGAAGTACTTTTCAGTGTAGAGAAAAAAATATTCAAATAAATCAATAAAATTTGTAAATCGATGATTGTAAATAAAAAACATAAATGAATAATAAAATTACTTCATAATCAATGCATAAGAAAAAAATCAATGCATAATGTCTTAAAAATATTATTTAGAATTTAAAAATAAAGAAACAATAGTATAAAGCTTCCCGCTTGTATACAGCACCGACTAATGTACAGTTTTTCTTTCTTTATTTAAGCTTAGATCCTTACCTGCACAGAAAATAATAATTTTAAAAATATATTGTGTAAGTGTGAAATTTCGGTTCCTTCCCATTTCTTTTATTATCTTGACTGTTTCAAGGAATGCTATTAGAATAATAATTATATACATCGAAACATAATTAGGTAACATTCTGGATAACTATTTTAATAAATCAATCAGAATCAAACAGAATCATCGAAAGTTTACTTACACTATATCCAATATCGGAATTGCATATATAATCATTATCTTGAACTCTTGCGAACAACGTCACCTGCAATGCGTTGTCTGCTCCTGATTGTAGAGCTCGTCTTGGATACGCAAATTTTCCACTATCTGCAGAATATCCATCGTCGACACTCCAACTACTTTTAGGTTCCCATTTAACTTGGTGGCTATGATTATATTGGTACCTACAACAAGCTTTCCTATAATATATTTTTTTATTAGCAAAATCGCATCAGCCAAATTGGCTATTACCGAAACAATAATAGCGAACAATAATTTCTATTACATTTATAATGTTAGTTTATAGTATTAAAAACAGTAATTCATACGTCAAATAACTGTCCAAGTGTGGATACGCATTTTTAAATACTTTCCGCATTTTAAAGTATATTTTATTGAATATAAAGATTCTAGTTGTGGCCTTTGAAAGGTTTTTTGTGAAACAATTTGTGACTTAGAAAAATATAAAATATAAAAAGTTTAGTGTATTGAAATTTATTTTACCCTCATTGGGGGTTACCGTTTGGATACGATAAGTATTAATAAGTGTAAGATAGATTCAAAGTGTTAAAGTATTAAATTGTAAAAAACTTGATATGGATTATGCGGGGAGACCACCACACAAACCTCCAGATATTAGCCTGATGGAGGAAGATGCTAATACAGAAAAAATAAAATCCAATATAAACAACACCTGGGACGGTAACTCAAAAAACAACGGAGAAACTGTAAGTAGTAAAACTTCTTATAATTCTACAGAAAATGTAAGAGAACAATTTCTATATCAGAGCAGTTATGCAGGTCCTTTTCATGTATATATAGAAAATAGTACTCCTGATTTTAAAGGTAAGATAAATGCTATCAAAATCGGTGATATTATACTGTCAAATTTTTCAAATTTCGATAACAAAATTACTAGTATTGATTCAATCGGCAAGAATAGAATTAGAATTAAATTTAAAGACTATCAATCAATCAAACATCAATTTTGATGTTTACGTTCCAAAGTTTATAATACATAGACAGGGTATAATTAGAAATATAGATACTGAATTTTCTGAGGAATACATCAAAAATAAAATTAAACAATCCGATATGCACTGTAAGTTTGAAGTAGCTTCAGTTAGAAGAAAAAATAGAAAGGTAGAGAAACATATCGAAGATAAAACAGTAATAGGTAAGGTTCTAACCAAATCATGGAGTGTAAATTTTAAAGCACAAACTCTTCCAAAATTTAAGAAGTCTAATCTATAATCATTACACCTTCTGATCTATATTTATTTTTCCTCTATCTAATGGATTTTAGAAATTTTCAAAAACACTAGTTTTTGCATCTACAGTAATTAGCTTGCTCGATATACGAATTTCTCAAATCAACTGAAAAGCGCCCTTTCAAACATAAAATAACATAACTACATCCCGCCTACGACTTGTCACTATAATATAATATAAACACTCAAAACTAGGACTGAACGAAGAAAAGGAGGGGAAAGTTGATGTTTAGGTTATTCATATTCATTTACTTTTAGTAAAGTACAGCTCATCCTATTTCCATATATGATCATATGATTTTGATATAAGAAGCCACAGTAGTGCAGTGTATAGTGCCAGTGAGTATAAAATTAAACTTATCTGGAAACTCATATCTAAAACTGATACAAATTAGTAAAATCAACTTACACTTTAGGTCTGAAAATTTCTTCTCTGTTTAACATGTTAAAGGTATAACATATACCTCCATCCAAGATTATTGGAGTAAAAATTTCATTGCAATCAAAACTATCTTCAAAGTCACCCATAAAGTCACAGTTAAATTCTTCTACCAGTTTTTCTAATGTATCAATCTACAAATTATGGTATAGTTAAAACTATTGTAAAATTTACTGTACAAACAAAAAATAGCTCTTTACACCATTAGGCAAACAGAAATTCGACATATACTAGTCAGGCAAGTTTAACAGAAGTCAAATAAAGAGGACACAAGAGTGACAATTAAATCTTTAGATAGAAAAATTTCACATGCCTTCATATAGAAAATAGGCCAATAATGCTGCACGTATTTTTCGGTCAATTTAAAGATTCGTAAACTGGTAAAGTTATATTCAACATATTATTTAATAAATTTATTCTGACATTTATCTCTTTGAGGTCTCTCTTTACATTGTCACTCAAACTCTGTCGGGCACGACCTGGGTAGACTTCGTATAGGTTTTACCGTAATGGTGATCGTATTCGTATCTCTGTCAGCAATATTTTATAGTACATAACATATCCAAGCCAATACAACATCTTACAATACTTACTACAAATAGACAAGATTGTTCAGTGAGTGTTTATATTTCCTGGTCATTTTAGATTTTTCAGTTACCCAGCTGGTATTAATACGGTTCTAAGATTTAGGCTGTACTACATTGTTGATCTTTTACTGTCCTGCACCACGTTTCTGATTCATATGACACCACTGGTATTATAATGGTGTTGTATATAACTTTAGCTTTCTAGACAAGGACCGGGATTTAGTTTTTTTTTGTAGAGCACATGCTACTTGATTACAACTGAGTATTCTAGTCCCTTCTCTTCGCTAATCTCATTTGTATTGTTGATCGTACTACCTAGGTATTTACACTCTTTGAGGTTTTTAAAACTACGTTATTATTGTTATTGGATTTGAATAGATTGCTCTTTGTTTTTGAGATTTTAAAAATCTTATCTTTTGAACATGTATGGTTGTTAGAACCTGTCTAGTTGCTGTTTTGAATTTTGGGTACTGTAGATCAGGAAATAAGCAAAAAATACCCTGTTTGTGACACTCAACCGGTTAGGCAAACGACAGTTGTTTAAAGTAGTATGGACCTCTGTAACAAAAATCTATATGTTTCGTGCAGTTGATTTTTTGGACTTAATTAATTATTAACAAATTAAGGTAAAAAAAGGTAAATTTTTGCTTAGTGGTACGCATTCGAAATCAATTTTAAATAAAATTTGTAATAACTTGACAGTAAAAATTCCATATCTTTTGATAACCAATCGACAAAAATTAAAATACGGAGAAGATTTCGTCTACAAATTTTGTATCTTGCTGCAAATAAAGTCAGTTTCTCTATAGGTTTGAACTAAATAAACGTTTATCGATTTTTACCATTTTTTACGATTCTCATGGGATCAATCATATTTATCACTTCTGTATAGCCTAAAATTTTCGGTTTTGAGTTTTGGCAACAAATGTGAGGCATTTGAAATATGCTTAAAAAAAACGCTAAATTTAAACTTTACAGTGGTACATTTTTCAAAACGACACATCTTCAGCTATAAACTACACCTAATATCGTTTTTGTGGAAGTATTTTCCATGCCGTGCGATCGTTTGTGATATAAGCCTATATGATAGGCATATTTATAAGGCCTCACAATTCCGCCAAAACTAAAAACCGAAATTATAGGCCATCTGTTTTTAATCTAATAATGAAAATTCCGTAGTGACCAGTCAATGGAAGTCAAAAATTTTATAGATTTTATGAGAATCGTAAAAAATGGTAAAAATCGCTAAACGTTTATTTATTTGTCACCTTTATAAAATTGGCTAAAAGATTTGTTCGGATAAACCTTTTATCTTGAATTTTTTAGACAAACATAATATAACAGTGGCCCACAAAGGCAACAACCTCTTAAATAAATATTTCACAAAACTAAAAACACAAACTCCAAAACTTTAAAAATCACATGTTGTTTACGAGATATAATGTATTAACTGTAATGGTGTCTATATCGGTCAAACCAGTCAACTGCTTTAATCCAGAATTCGTTCTTACAAATATGACAAGAATAACGTCACAGCGCTCAGAAAACATGAAAGTGAGAAGAAGCATACATTTGATTTTGTAAACATCAAAAGTTTAAAAACTGAACAAAACAAAAAGAAGGGGGAGATATACGAATTAATAGAAATAAAAAGCAATACGAACGCAATAAATGACAAAAAAGATACACAAAACCTAAATAAAATATATTTCAAACTGATATAAACAATAATAATATAACATCATAAAACGCTCTTAAAGTAATAACATATCGCCACCTTACCTTTTTCGAAAACATCATTGATACGCCCATATAAAAATAATTATATACTAGTGAGAATAAACAATGAGATTCGGAACCAACTTTTATTTCTCAGTTCGTTAATGTCTGTGTCCCGTTTTACGTTTTGGTAAGTCGTACATATATATATATATATATATATATATACATATTTTACAATATCTGTCTGTCTTTATACATGTACATTTTAGAATCTTGACAAAGGAAAGGGTTTCCTGCCGAAACGTTGATTGCTCTGGAAAATAAAATCTAGTTCCACATGTAATATATCTTTATTGGGTTTATATAACCTAAACCCAAGAAACATTAATTTTATATATATATATATATATATATATATATATATATTTTATATATATATTTATATATATATATATATATATATATATATATATATATATATATATATATATATATATATATATATATATATATATATATATATATATATGGAGAGATCAATGCTGGGCCTGACCTTGAAAGATCGAGTAAGAAATGAGGAGATACGCCGACGAACTGGCGTAGACGATATTATACTGCGAATCAATAAACAAAAGTGGAGGTGGGCTGGACATGTTGCTAGAATGGAAGACGGAAGATGGACGAAGAGATTATTGGAGTGGAGACCAAGAGCCGACAAGCGAAGTCGAGGCAGACCACCCACCCGATGGACCGACGACCTAAAGAGAATAGAAACAAACTGGATTGCAGCAGCTAGAGATAGAGAGAACTGGAGACGTTTGGAGGAGGCCTTATCCAACAATGGATGTGAAAATTCGGCTGGATGATGATATATATATATATATATATTATATATATATATATATATATTATATATATATATATATATATATATATAAATGTGATATTACAAGTCTGATGTGCGCCAAGCAATTAATTATTTAATTAATTAAGGTTGATCTTCACCCTCGATTAATTTGTTTCTGATCCTAGAGATGGCCCTACTGCGGCATGCTACTGTGGTAAATTTTTTAACTTACTTGTAGATTTCTACATGACGACTCTGTAATATTTTTAAATCCTAACATAAATTGCAGTTTTCTGTCTATATCAATTGGCTGAGTTGCCAAGTTGTGTAGACAGTAATTTTATCAAATATGCTATAACTTATATGGTTACTAGTAGACCAACTAAGCAACGATATCTTATAACAACATCTTTATGTATAATACTTTACTGTTCTGCTATGTCAGTCGGAATATAATATACCAAATTCATTCATTATCTAAACAATTTTACCGACAAAGAAATTATGTATGTTGCGGCTTTGTTTGTGAGTATAGTATTACATACCATTAAATTCCTACATCATATTATATTACATTTTTGTTGATAGTTAAAAATTAAAAAATGATCTGGTAATATAATTAAGGCTTTTTTCGCAATTATAGCATACTGCGATTTGAAGTGGGCGTATCACTTACTTTTCTACACTGCTATGTCAGACCCTACGTGACTTCCTAATAGTTTGGATGTTTATTCAGTGGCGCCGGCCCACGGGTTGTTTAAAAGAAATGCATTATTCTCCATTCAAATTAGTTTTGTCGGAATACTTTTTTTAGATTAATTATCGTAGATAATGTTTTAAAAAGAATTAATCACATTTTTAATTTATATGTCTTAGCTAAACATAGTATTAAATAAAAATTCGTGAAACGTGACTGCAAAAAACACCATGGTGTTTATTTATAATAAATTTAAATTTTGTTATATTAATATTAATATATAATTAATATTTTGTTAATATTTGTTAGAGAAAACTGATATTAGCGTAGTAAAAATTAAACAAAAAATATTTTTATTTATCTATAAAAAATTGGTACCTGCGAAACCATCATAATAGTAAATTTATTTATCTGGCAAGTATTTCGAGGCGACGCACTGCGAGGAAAATGTTCTCTGAATGGAATATACATTATTTTAATATATTTATAGGTTGCAGTTACATAAAAAAGTATCCAATTGATGAATAAAACACAAATCGTGGATAGTTATTTCATCATATCAGTGGCATTTCAGCTCGTCATGAGCCAAAGGCTTCTTCAGAACAATCTTCCATTCGCCCCTGCCTCTGGCAACTTTCTCCATGCTTTAACTCCGATGGATTTTAGATCATCCTCTATGTTATCTTGATACCTAAGTTTTGGTCTTCCTCTGGATCGTCTTCCCACTGGTCCTCTTCGGTCGAAAATTTTTCTGATCGTTTCATCTTCATCTCGCCTAATTACATGTCCTATCCATCAAAGGCGTACTAATTTAATAAATTTTACAACGTCAGGTACTACACCTGAAGAAGCATCGTAGTTTACTTTATACGATCTTTTTGACCAAGCACCATCAGCTATAACGGTTATTAACCCATTTCCGTCGGAATCTACTTCACCAATTTCTTTGGCTAAAGCTAATTCCTCCCGTCCAGCCTCTTCTAAGGAATCACAAAGTGTTTGGCCGATATCTGCAACTGTTTCCGTATGTTTTGCATACTGCCTGTAGGAAATCACAGGTATATTTAATGCAGCGTGCTGCTGCTGTATGTCTGAATAACCAGAACCATTCAAGTTCAGTGAATTGTTACCAGAATCCTATGTTGCTATCTCCTTTTCAATATTCCACATTTGACATTTAAAAGTCAATGTACTTATCAATCCGTCCATTTTTTCTTTGATAATCTCCATATTAGAAAAGTTGCATGAAAATGGAGAATGATTATTCAAACCTTGAATATA